CAAATATATTCGAACTCACATATACATATATAGTCGAACATTAACAAAAGTGTTAAAACTCTTTATGAAAAGTTACGATTACAAAAACTTTCAGAAATCAATCAAAATCAAACTTCAACTGAAATCATCAATTTGTCTGAAAGTGATTATAACAAAAATATTGGTTATATTTATTTGTTATCAAGACAATTAAATAGTGAAGATAAAATACAAATTAAAAATGGAAATAAAATTATTATTCAGAAAAAGAATGAAAATCAATTTAGGATTTATTTCCGAGATAATCAAACTTTTGAATTTCAAAAACATTCATTAGATGAAGAAAGTTTAATTGAAATATTGAACAAACTGAATTTTGGCAAGGAAGAAATGATATTATTAAAAGAAAATGAAAATCATACTATCTACCAAAGTGTTTATAAAAAAATTGTATCCGAAAATGGTTTCACAAAATATTCTATCGAGCAAATCGAATCTTTTACTAGATTAAAGGAAATTGTTTATGAAAAATTATCTGTATTAAAAGATGAACTAGATTCAAAGATTTATAAATGTATTGTTGATGAAATCAAACTTGTATTTCATTCAGAATCACCGGATATATGGCTATGCAGAATACATTTTATCTTCAATAATATTGATGTTATTACAAATCTTGAAAATAAATTCAAATTATCGACGTCAACCGAATTCAAAAAATCGGATTTAAAAGATTTATTGAACAATTTAACTCTAAAGGATAATGCGAAACATTTTTTGGAAGATGACGAAGATGATAGGAGAATCATTTTCTATAAATTCTTGTCGATATTTGATCGTTTATTAATTCAAATAGCAAAAAAAGAGTTGGACATTCCAGTCAAAGTTCAATTTGATGCAACCGCTGATATCTTATCTGAAAAATATCAACAGAAAGATGACTTACGAAATACTATTTTATACGAAGTTATCGTGAAAAACAATCAAATCTTGAAACAATATTATCCCAATGAAATCTTAATCATATATGAAAAAATCAGGACACAAATTTCAAATTCTGTCAATTTCTCATGCTCAGATTTAGATACAAAGGAATTGGCAGAAAATATTCAAACTCATTTTAAATATGTGATTGATAATGGTTATTTGAGTTTGTCTGATTACATTGATAAAATTTATGTAACATCATCGCATAGATTAAATACTTCAATGAAATATAAAATATATTCAAACTTGATGGAGATAATCGATAATTTTTATAAGCAAACTGTTCCCGATTCCCAAATGGAAGCATTCATTGAAAAATCTACTTTATTTTTTAAACATCTTCAAAAACAATGTCTGATATTGATAAGTGGACTCGATAACATAAATCATCCAAGTCAAACTGAAATTAAAGATATTTTGGCTGAATTAAAAACTAAGAATACAACTTTCGAGAAATGTTCATTAAGAATTTTACCAAGAGACCGTCTAGACACAACGGATCAAAATCAAATAATTCTAAGTAAAATTAGTGAACAGGAATATCAAATTGTTTATCGTCGTTTACAAGATAATAAAACTAATTCTTTTATTTTCAAACAAGACGAAAATGAAAAATTATTTGAATTATTCAATTGTTTAAACAACGATGATTTAATTGAAGAACAAATGGAATTACAAAAATATGAAGAACTTTATTCTATAATTAAAACAAACAATGGATCAATCTATAAAAATGTCTTTTTTGACGAAAAAATCTTTATTGAAATTTTTATTAATTGTATTATGAAAAATAGAGCAAGTCTTTCAGTCGAAATATTTCGAGATTATATGAATAGTTTCGAAATAATTCTCAAAAATTCGACTATCAACTGCGATATTTTACTTTCATTGAATGAATCATTTCGAAATTTAACCAAGAATGAACCAAACGAAGAATACATTCAAATATTCAATCAATTAATCAATGAAAAAAATAAAGATTTAATGATAAATATCGAAACAAAATTTGAAGATATGTATATTAATATCAAACGCAAGAATCGTATCTTGAATATTACATTTAATTATTTAACAAAATGTTTAAAAGAAAAAACTATTGAATCTATTTCATTTGAAAAAAATCAATTACTTAATATTACACTATCAATAAAAAGTATTTTTCAGGCACATCAATTAAAGCTTTCAGATATTTTACAATGCTGTGAAGAATTAAATCGAGCATTGACATTTACACCTTACAATTGTCTCGAAATGTACAAAAAACAGTCGGATTGTCTTAAATTAAAAATTCGATTATTTATTGAAAAGATCGATTTTCCACAAGACTGTAAATTAAAAACTCATTTTGATGAATTTAACAATAAATTACAAGAAACAGAATTTATCAATAATCAATCAATATTCAAGTTACTCGACGTTGTGTTGCTGAACAGTAAATCGATTGAATCAGAAAACTATCAATCTATTATGAAGAAAATTCTTTTAAATTTCGAGATGACCGCTGATCCATATGATTGGGATATGTTAGAAAAGATTGAAACGACAATAACAAAAGTTGAAAAAATTGATTCAATTCAAATCAGTTTTCGAAAGTTTATCCTGGAAACAGTAAAGACAAAATTGAATTTGAAATATAAAGAAGAAATGAATAAATATGAACAAAGGAAGAAAAGTTTGAATAACTCAATACAAGAAATTATCAAATTATTTTGGTCAAATATATCAAACAGTGATTTATTGAATAAAGAACGAGAAAAAGCTTATGTAAATGTTAACATCGAAAAATTATTAAAACTTTTCAATGATGATAAAGATAAACAGGAATTATTTTTAACAAACATATTGAGTAAACTCAAAGAATTACAAAGTAATTCAGATAAAAAACAATTTACAAATAAATTTCATATGTATTTAAACGAGCAAATTAATACAGAATTAAATCAAACCTCAAAAATTATCATACCCATTGAACTTGATAAGGATTTACAAAATTCTCTTCAAGATATTTTGGAGAATAACTATGCGTACAAAGATAGTATCATTATTTTCGACGAATTTTCAATTCTATTTGAGACGTGCATTGATAAATTTAAAAATGAGCCAAAATATAACGAATTTTTTGAAAGTTTCAAAAATAGATTCATGTATTTTTCTTGGAGATTATTACAATATGATTCAACAACAAAACAAGATTCGTTAAATAAAGCGATTGATCGATTTACTGCTTCAATCAAAAAATTTAAACATACCATTCATAATGAGAACATTGAACAAGCATCAATTAAATACAAGTATTTTTATGAATTTGAAAATATTTTCAGTTTACGTACACATGAAAATCAATTACAAGAAGAATTAAATATTTTACAAGCTGATCATCAAGAGAAACACGACAAAATTGAACAAATTATCAAAATATGCTTGAATAGAGTAGATAATTGTTTGTCTCGTACTGATCAGCCAATAGCAACACTTGGTCAATCATTCTATAATAAAATTAATGAATTATTTTCAAAAAATTCTATAGAATTGAAAGATTTTGAACCCAAAGAAATCTCTGAAGCTGTGAATGAAACTACTGACAATAAGTCAAAACCAGATGTTGTACAAGAACAAATAGAAGTTCCCATTGAAAAACACAACATAAGTAATGTTGAAATACCATTAGAAGCGAAATTTGAAATATTAAATAAACTTTCATGTCAAATCATTAACGAAGAGAAAAAATGGACGAAGCGCAAAGTTTTGATCGAAAAATTCGATGCGATTAGAGACAACTTGTTTAATGAAGATCTACAATCCATGTACGAACAAAGACCTGATAAATCACAAACATTTGATGCATTTAAAAATTCAATTGAAGTGAAAAATCTCAAAGAAATTATTACCCAAACTGATGCCAGTGAATGGAATCAAGAAATATATGATTTATCTATCGATTTATTCATTATGAATTTACTCAAACTATATGATTTTGATCTGAATACCTTAAAAGGTCAATTTAAGTCCATTGAAAATTTAATCACTATAAAATCAACTGATGACGTTGATGATATTTTGAGCAATATATGGCAAACAGAAATCAAAGAAAAAAAAGATTCGATGGATATAATCGATTTTATTATGAAATATTCTACAGAAAACGTCGAATCATTAAACTCAGAAACAATGTTGAATAATCTGATGACAGAATTTATTAAAAAACTCAATTCTATTAAGATGTTAAAATCGTCAATTGATACTCTTTATTTCTTCGTTGGCTATGAAAATTTCATACAATTAGTACGTATATTACAATTAAAACTAATCGGTTTGAATTCACCGAAAATAGATGTCGATAAATTAACTCAGGTATTTTGTTTATTATCAAGTGTAAATAATCTCAATCGATCATTCAAATACTTAGAAAGTTTTCATATTGAAAATTGGCTTGTATATTTATATTTTGACAAGATTGAAGATGATTTAAACATATTATTTCATCGTTATTTCGATGAATTCAATGTGAAGGATTTGAAAATTATTGATTTTAATCATTTAGATGAACTCATCGAAACTAAATATTATCAAATAGAAAATTCATATAAAAATACATTGAATGATATATTAGAAACATTAAAAATGATAAAAATAAATCCAAATATTAATGTTAATGAAAAAGAAGCTTTCTTTCATTTTATAGCACGTCTATTCTTTTATGAATTAAAGAAAGCTTCGAATTGTTTGATTAATTTAAATGATTTACAAACAATATTTATCAAGTATTTGACCAGCGCATCAATTTTAAACAAATTAATTCGTTCTTTACAAACTCAATTATCGAAATCAGATAATCAAAATGATCAATTAGTCATTGAAAATATCTATTCAAAAACATTTAATAGTTTATTACCTTATTTAACAAGATTTTGGATAATTGAACAATTAGAATTGAATAGGAAAGTTTCAGAAAATGAACAAATAAAGATCATTCAATATTTTGAAATGATTAAAACTTCATATTCAGAAGAGAAAATGTTTCAATTAATTGATGTCATTCAAAAATCATGTAAAAATGAAAAATTGATACCTCAAATTATTATTGATTTATTAATGAATATTTCTAATAATGAATGGTTATTAAATAATGATATTCTCGACATACTCCAAACGACGAAAACTAATGAATGGGAAAAAAAAATTGAAAATTATATGGAAGAAAAACGATTTATAAAACGAGATTTTCATGAATTGATTAATTTAATGAAAGAAGATAAAAATAATTTGAATAAATCAATCAAAGATTATCTAAATAGTACAGATATTCTAAGTGATCTACAACTTTTAACTAATAGAATATCTGTCGAAAATTGGACTATAGCTGATATTCAAGAATGGGCGGAAAAAACAAGAGGCAATCGATTATTATTATCTAAAGAAGCAGTTCAAAATGCTATCGTCGTTGTTAGTCAAGCTATCCAATTATTTAAGGGATTTTATCCAAGAGATACGCAAATACTTGCATTATGGCTATTCTTAAATCCAGATTTCAATCAAACAAATATAGGATGTTTAGCACAAATTTCGACTGGTGAAGGTAAATCAATCATAGTTGCTGCATTAGCTGCTATAAAAGCTTTAGGTCGTCATCGAATTGATGTTATTACCAGTTCGAGTGTTTTAGCTATTCGAGATGCGGCAGAATTTCAACGATTTTTTGATATGTTTGGATTACACGTTTCAAATAATTGTGATAGTTTTTGTGAACAAGGTAATGGAAAAGAAACAGCAGAACAAATTCGAAAATCAAGATATTATAATTCAAATGGTCCTGTTGATATTATTTATGGTGAATGTTCATGTTTTGAACGTGATATTTTATTAACAGAATTCAATAAAAACGATCCAGAACAAAATATCATCGGTCAACGAATATCAAAAAATAGTATATCAAGTGTTATTATTGATGAAGTTGATAGTATGTTATTAGATAAAGCCAATATGGTACTTTATTTATCACATAATATTGATACATTAAAATCCTTAGAAAGAATATTTATTTCGATTTGGCAAACAATTAATCAACCAGCATTTGATTATGCACGTAATGAGATGATTAATGATGATTTAATCAAAGTAGTTTCTGATATTATATTTGAACAAATTGATCAGAAAAATATTGAAATACCAGAATATAATTCATATAATTGTAATTATATTAATATACGATTATTTATTAAAAGACGAATGTTAGTATGGATTCGAAGTGCATTTCATGTTCGAGATATGATTCCGAATGATACATATATTATATCAAGAGATAAATCATCAAAATCGGAAGTTCAAATTACTGTTATGGATAAAGATACAGGTACAGAACAATTATCAACTCGATGGAGTAATGGTGTACATCAATTTCTACAATTAAAACACATGAGAAGATTTACACCGGAATCATTAAAAGCTGTATTTATATCAAATATGTCATTTTTTAAACGTTATAAGAAACATATTATTGGTTTAACTGGTTCATTAGGTTCAATTGATGAACAATCTTTATTAGATAAAGTTTATCAACTTCGATTTTTTGAATTGCCAAGATTTAAACTAGAATTATTTCGAGAACTAAAAGGTACAATAACAACATCTCAAGATACTTGGCTTGAAAATATTAAAAATGCATTAGATAGAGAGATTAAATCTAAATTAGGAAGTAAAGATAGACGACGAGCTGTTTTGATTATTTGTGAAAATGTAAAAAATGTTTTAATTTTGAAAGAATACCTAACAAGTTCATATCCAAATACTAAAGATTATAAAAGTGCTTATGAAGACTTTAAAATCGATCAACTAACTCCTGGTGATATTATTATTGCAACAAATCTAGCTGGTCGTGGTACGGATTTAGAAACATCAGATAAACTAGAAGAAAATGGTGGTTTACATGTCATTGCTACTTATTTACCAACAAATATTCGAATAGAAATGCAAGCATTTGGTCGTACAGCTCGAAAAGGTAATAAAGGTACTGGTGAATATATTATTATTAGTCAGTATGGTCTTTCGATTGAAACATTAAAACAATTAAGAAATTTTCAGGAAAAAGAACGATTAGATTCTTTTCTTATTAATGATTTACCTAAAATTCAAACCGAAGAAGATTTATTACAAGGATTTACTGATGATGATCAATTATCTTGTATTGGTTTTACAAAATTATATCAAAATATTGAAAAGAAACTATTAAGTGATGCTAATATTCAACGTTATGGTTATCAATACAAACAATTTCAGTTGAATAGTTTAAAAAATCGATGGGCATTTTGGTTAGATTCTATGACTGAACATATTAACATGATTAATATCATTGGAAAAAAGAAAATCGTTGAAAAATTCAATGAATTTCAATTAAATATTGAAAAAGATATAGAAGCAGATCCTTTCCGAAAATTGATCATTGAACCAAGTGAATTTATTAAACTAGGAAAATATTATCGAGATCAAGAAAATTGGTCGAACGCTATTTTATGTTATAAAGAAGCAAGTCAAGATAGATTTTATTCCTTCAGTAATTACTATACAAGTTCATGTATTCAGAATAAAAATTATGCAGATGATCCGGAAAGTAAAAGCAAATTTAAACATAGTTTACTTAATGTTCAACAATCAATTGAAAAAGAATTACAATTTCTAAACAATGCTGCACAAATTGCATTTGAAATTGGTGAAAAAAATCGTATATTAGGTTTGCCTAATTATGGAAATGAATATGATAAACAAGTAAAAGAAAAATCAACTATTTGGAATATTTTTTCTGGTACAGTTATTAATGCTCTTGGTTCACCAATTGATCCGAAAGATTTAACAGGAAACAAATATCTATCTGATGAAGGAAAAGCAAGAATATTATTCAATATATTAAAATGTAAAGAATACATCAAACCATCACGAATTACAAAAAAAGAAATTAAACCACTTGATTTACCATCGATGTTCAATAATGATGAGACAAAAAATGCGTTAAGAAATTATCTTGTAGAAAAATCAAAAAGAAGAAAAGAGGATGATGATTTAGATGAATTAAATGAAGAAATTTTCAAAAAAGAGATAAAAAAAGAAAAAATTTTTATACCTTATTTCCAAACTTTTGTTGACAAAATCAAAAATTATGGTTTTATTACTCCAGTTACGAATACATCGGAAAATCAATTATATCTACTTCAAAATTTTAACGAAGAAAATTTGAAGAATAAAAATTTTCCTAATGAAATTTCACGCATTAAACAAATCTTATTCGATTGGGCAACTGATGCCGCAAAAGAAAGAACACTTCTTGGTACGAAAACTCATATTTTAGAGAAAATCAATGACTTTCTCAAATTAAAAAGCGAAGCCAATATTACAACAACTCATTTGAATCAGTTCTATCAATTTCTAGAAACAAATTCATTATTAGAAAAAGTTATTCAATATACAGTTAGTAGAGAGAAAATTATCAATCCTGTCGATGGTGAATATAAATATTTTAATTTGTATGATTTTGAACGTAATTATACGAATGAATTTGAAAATTTTGATTCAGTACTTCGAAAAAGTTTCTTAAGGATTATTGTTATTCAAGAACATTTAGACAAAGGTGATTCTTATATTACATTAAAAGAAATTATTAATACAAATGATTTTTATTTGCATAAAACTGAAGATGAAGCAATAAATTATTTATGGAACTATCTTAAAAGTGTTTCATTAATCAAATCACCACGAATTAATATTGGTTTTTCCAAAAGTGTTCCATTAACCAAATCACCACGAATTGTTATTGATTTAATCGGGCTGGGGAAAGTTGATGTGAGAACAGAAATTAAAAAAGAAATCGAATCATTTCTCAAACGTGAATTACCAGAAGATAAACAAAACGAATTAAATGAAGCAGTAAATACTGTTTTTAATATTATTGATCAAACTATTGGTGATTTAAAGAAAATACCTGACGATAAAACAATAACAAGTTATCTGCAAATCAAGACCAGTTGTTTTCTTGAAAATAAAAAACGTGTGCCAGAAGCACTCGAAGAATTTATTGATTTAGCTTTTGATGTTATATTCCGTTTAGAAGAAAAGAAAGAACCACCACAATGGTATGAAATTGCTGCTGTTATTGCACTAGGTATTATTCAAGTTGCAGCTGGTGTGTTAGCTAAAGCATTTATGCCTGTATATGGACAATTGATTGGTGAATTTTTAATCAGTACTGGATGTGATGATATTCTGTTTGGTATAAATTGTGCCATATCTGATGAATTTAATTGGGAAAAATATTGGCAACATAAAAAACAAAGTATGATAACAAGTGCAATAACTGCTGTTGTTTTTGTTTCTGTATCATATTTAAAAAATGCGGAAAGATTAAAAAGTGTTAAAGAAGCACGGGCTTTTCAACAATTAACAGGGGCACAAAAATTACATAATGCTGCTACTGCATTGAAAACAACAGCAAATATTGGAAAATATGTTGGAAAAGAAATAGCGAAAACATTGATTCAAACTGGTTTAGCTGAATTAGCATCCAGGGGTGTTGATAAGATGCTTGATGTTTTATCAAATACTTATGAAAGTGAACTACGTGAAAAAATTACTAATTCACTCAAAAATCAATGGAATATAATTGAAACTGAAATGTTAGAAATCTTTCGTGTTACCGAAGGAAAAGATTCAATGAAAATCATTGATGATTGTATTAATCGGAAATTACAAAACTTATCAGAAGATGGTACATTGAAAAATTTGACACGTCGATGTACTCCTGTAATTCAAGGCTTAGGAAAAGCATTAGCTGATGTTAAAGGTACAAAAGGTACAATAATAAGTTTCCTTATGACACGTGCTCCAAAATTAATTGGTTTAGGTGTTAGTATCAAAGATATAGTTTTTATAATCAGTAGTTTTGTCAAAAGTTTAGTAAATGATTTGAAAGATGCGCAAAAAGCTTGGGACAAAACAAATAAACAATATGAATTAACAGACGCTCAAAAAAATGATTTTCAAAAATTTCAAAAAGATAAACGTGATCAAGTATCCAATTGTTTAACAGAAAACTTTAATCAAAAGCTTAAACATGGAATTCTTGCACCAGTACTTAACCATGCTTCGAATATGATGATTAGTAAAGGTATTGAATTTATTGCCGGTACAGATCGTATTGAACAATTAGCTGATACATTTGAATTAATCCATGCAGCAACTAATCCAGGTCAAAGTAAAGTACAATACGAAGATGCTTTAGCTATTTTTATAGCTGAAGCAAGACCTATCGATATGAAACTCGTAGATAAAGATCGTTGTCCAGTAAATGGTGATGGTAAAAATCTACAGAAACTTTATGAATTACATGGTGATTCAATAAAAATATTTATTGATAAAAATGGAGAATATTATGTACGAAAACCATCTTCGAAAGAATATTATCAAAGTATTCGAGGTGATAAACCAGCTGGTTTACATGAACAATCAGTAATACCAGGCATATTAGGTGTCATTATAAAGCATGGTGAAGTAGTGAATAATGAACAACAATGTACTCTAGAACGAGAAGATGGTTCAAAAATAGAATTTGTTATTAAACATAATTTTGATGGTACAAAACATGCAGAATTAATAGTCGATGGTAAATCAGTTAGCATTAATACGAGTAATCAGAATAAAAACGATTGTTATTATAATGTCGTATTGGTTGCTAATGAAATGTCTAAACATAAATCATTTGATGAAGCAAAGAAAATACTTGATAATAGTGATGCTGTCAAAGTTCTACGAAAAGATGTTTCCTTATCAATAAAAAATAATAAAAAATTATTGAATGAATTTCGATGGACAAATGGAACTGATATTCAAGTTCATTATAACAATTTAGTTGGTTTATCTAGAGGTAATGATAGTCAATTAAAATTAGATAACATAGATTTTACCAAGTTAAGAAATCGAATGGTAACTATAATGAGAAGATATCGAAATTTGTAGGTCATAGATAACGAAAGAATGTGATCAAAAATGGTCAAAAAATAGACGTAGCTGATCACCATCTTGAGAGTATGGATGTAGCTGTACGGGTGACTTATATGCTGAGACTCTCCTTTCCTTTTTTTTCATGATTAGGTAAATTCAGCGGTCAATGAGGGTGCTGCGAAGTTGTTTTTCACTATCATGTGCTCTCTTTTCGCGAATTTTATCCCATTCATTTCCTTTTTGATACTTTTACATCTTAGTTAAAAGGCTTATATATGTTCCGGATAATTATTTTGCTCGAAAATGTGCTAAAGATTTCAGAGGTTACACAACTTGAGGGATGAAGTTTTTATTGAGTACTGAGAATTGTTCGCGAGAACATGTGAAACAGTCAAGGACTGTGACAAAACTACTTAGATTAGTTGAAATCTAATGAAATTATCTGATTATTCGAATCATTTTCTACTCTTTAAAGTTACAATACATGCTTGCAATTATCTTTTATTTAGGTAGAGACGATTTGGAGCGTCTACTCGCTTCAGTCGAAAATATGGTTGGGAATGAAGTTAACGATATCGAAAAAATGAAAAATATGATTAACGATTATATTAAGCGTCGTGTCAATGAGGATGCCAAAAGCAAAAAAGAAGACAAATCTGGACAAGGCTCTAGACGAGGGGAACACATCTTTGATGCTGGTCTTAAAAATATTGGTGAAGACATTGAGGAGAAATTTTTAAAAAAAGTTGGTATGTCGAGCACCAAAGAGCTATCTGAAGACTTACGAAAAGTTTTAAACACATTCAATGTTACACTCAAACCAGATATTTCTGAAATGACAGCTTTTAACGTCCCACAATACGGCAATGAAAATGCTTTCAAATTTGGAAGATCAAAAGAATTACTTATAGAATTTAGCGTGCGCTATATGAAGAATCTTTACGACCAGAATGATGAACCACAAGCTAATGATACCACCGCGAACGAAGCTGTAAAGGTATATTTTACTGCAATAAAGACAATAGCACGGAAAATGATCGACGAAAAAGTTTATGTAGATGATGAAGCCTGGAAACATTTGGTTAATGAAACGAACGAAAATAAAAAATCTAAGGGGCAAAAAAACACACGTCAAGAAAATCTTTCTGCCAAGTACAACGACACGATGGAAGAACTTAAAAAAAAGTTTGAAAAGTTCGGTGATCCGTCATAGAAGACTTAACATGGAGATATCACAACTACATCTATGAAGCACAATAGTTCAAGTACTACTGAATGCTTTTCCAATTCAGTTTTGGATGTTTGTATCACTGAACTATTTTATTTTAAATTTAATACTCCGTTTGTTTTTCTTTATTTTCTTCGATTAATATATATAAACAAAATAATAGAACGATCTGTCCAAGCGCGACTTAATCCCGCTTTTGGCATTTTGTATTTTGAAGGTGGGTGTGGTTTATTCTAAGTGTACCCACACTCACACCCTTCATATCTATTCTAATTATAAAAGGGAACAAATCGAATGTATCATTTTAATTTTATTTGGTTTGTCTTTCAATATAGAGTTAGAGATCAAAAACGATTCGATTCGATACAGTCTTTAAAAAGCAAGTCAATATAAACAAATCTAAGTTGAAAAGAATCGATTGATTTAATATTTATTTAGTAGAGCTATCATTCTTCATGAATAATCAAATGATGTTTGATAGATTATTTTATATTGTAATTAAGTCTTCACATAATAGCTTTTCTCTCCTATTAACACATTTATATATTGTATTTATTAGAATTAGTTACTTCTGTGTGATATAGCTTTTTAAAGTTATTTCTCTTATTTAATAATTAATTAGATAATTTATTATTCTATGAATAAAAAACAAATAGAACTCGAAATTCAAAAGAATGCAGAATATCAATTGAGCGACTTTTAATAATTTAAGATCAGTTATTTGATAAACATTAAACGAGTTATTATCCAATGTATCTCTAATGAATAAGAAAAGTACAACTTATAAGTCATTTTTTGTTGTAAGCAGTTCTTATCTTAGTTTAAATGAATCGAGCTGAATTCAAACTAATCAAAGGTATTTTAATTTAGTCTCTAATTATAGCTAAATAGAGAACTATCACCATCAAATGATACATAATATTAATAAACCATGTAATTAGCCAACACAATTTCTCTTCATCAAACAGACTATATAAAATTTATTTAGTAAAAACTTCAAGTTTGTATTTGTGGAAATGACAATTTTATATTTTTATATGAAACTTAAAATATACCTACTATGGAATTGATTTCTTTTTTCGTAACTCGATTGAAGTCAAGTTAAAAATAATAACATAAGAAAGAATGATAAAATTTCAAGATCAGCAATGTTTTTTTTCTCTCGTTTATAATCAAAAATACCAAAATAAAACTTAATTAATACGGCTATGTCAATTAAATAAAGTTAAAAAAATATTTTATCTATAAAACTGAAATTATTTGAAACTACTTTGATGTAGTATAGAATTTTTCACGTACAAAAGTATGATATTTATTTCTTAGACGTAGGTTTAGCATCTCATTCAAATATGATTAAACTGAAAGAATATAAAGATTATTGTAAAGCAAGTTTCACTGACAATGTTTTCAAATCTAATAATCAAAATACAACTCAAATTAAGTTTTCCTTTCTTATTTTTTATTATTTAGTTTATCATATAATAAAAAAGCTGTTAGCGCAATCCCTAACGGGATTAAAAATGTGAAACACGATCTAATTGTGCTTCTACCTTTAAGAGGATAGTTTAATTGTATCATTATGAAGCGGCTTTTATCTTATCCTGTAGCATAAAGGTATAGAAATATCAGAAAGAAATAATTTTCATACGTTGAAGTCATTTGATTATTATTTTAACAGTTGATACAAAATTCAATAGAAAATTGATTAATATAAAAAACTACTCACATGTCTACCTTTCCTAAATCCTATGAGTTCAATAGTTTCATTTTATTCTCCAACGCAATGTTCATATCTATGACAGTTACAATCTGTGACAAAGTCAAAAGAACATCTGTCATTCACGATTCGTGATGCTACGTTAATTACCTGTATGAAGGCTTTGTTAGGGTCTGTGATGAGTCAATAAACCCTAAACTAGAGATTAAGTTGATTCTTCTAGTCTAATTGTCTCAGGACATCGGCCCGGATAGCAGAAGGTGTGGATTCGAGTCTCGCGAAGGTAATCTTTTCCCCCATTTTGTCTTTCTATTGTGTTCTTTCGCTGATATCCCTTTTATGGCTCTGATATAGCCCTAACAGGCCTATGATACCCTATTACTTCTGCCTGTAACGAGGTCAAAAGAACATATGTCGGTCACGTCTGTGGGAGCGGGGGGTAGTAGGTCCAAATTTCTACCCCTAAACACTTCAACACTCCTTTTAGATCGTGTTTCACAAAAACAATTTGAATAAATAATTAAGTAATTATAATGAGTAGTTCAGAAGATCGTTTTACAGATATCGAACTGAAAAATAAACGTTTGCCAGCATGTTTTGGTTATATTGCTTGGAAATTATTATCTCTTGAAGATCCTATGAAAGAATTACAAGATTTTCTAATAGAAATAAATCGTTTTGTTAAATTAGCTAAAAAATATTTTACATATCCAAATGATCATAATTTAACAAAAGGTGAATCTGCTGCAATCTATATTTATATAATGGAAATGACTGATGATTCAAGTGTTTATTGAGTTTGAAATCAAATACTTTATGCAGAAGATCGAACAAAAGTTCGTCCATGGTTTGGATATTTAAAGCTTTTGGATTCAGCAACATCAAAACTATCTAATTTTAAAGGAACTGTTTTTCGTGAAATTGATAAAAATGTTAATAGGAGTTTTAAAAAAAGCCGAAAAATTACCGTATGGAGTATAAGTTCATGTCCAACATCTATTGATGTTATTTCTTCATTTATTAATAAATCTATTTCAGGTACATTATTTCATATTGAATGTTTAAATGGAAAATCGATTTCATCATATATATCTTATCCAAATGAAAATAAAGTTATGTTAATACCTGGAACAACATTTGAAGTTGCATCTAATCCATTAAATCATCATGGTGGATTAAATATTATTCGTGTAAAAGAAATTCGTGATGATGACGAATCACCAAATCCATAAGCGTTTTAACTATTATATTTATTAGAAAACAAATCTATAAAACGAATTTTGATAAATAAATGAATATGGAAATAGCTCTTTAAAATCCAATTAATAAATTGATAGAAAATATTATTTTATTTCTGATATTTTTCTAAACTAATTGAATAAAAAATCAAATGTGGTTTAAGATTAGATTAATTTTTGATTATAAAATCATATTTATTTATTTTTGTTTCAAATTTAAAAACGTTTGTTTTGTTTTACTAATCAAGATATATTGATAGATGAAAATATTTATAGAAAAATTAAAGAAAACGATTTGTTTTTCAATTATAAATAATTTAATAACTAAGCCATCGTGCAGTTTATGATTTTAATCTCAAAATAATCAGATGAATAAGAAATATTTGATATTTTATTATTGAATTTGATCTATTGAAAATCTTAATTAGAAAATAGAATAATTAAAGATTATACTTGTATAGTTTTATTTTTAAGATAAATGATAAAAAAATTGTTTTAAAGATCGATGAAAATAAAATTTAGTTAAATAGAATAATTTATAAATAGTTGACTTTTTGTTTGAATAAAATATTATAAATCTAATTAAAATAATATATAAATTAAAAATTATTATTATCTATTCCTATCTTTCTTTTTGATAATAAAATATTTTAACAGTTTTCTTATATTTGAAAGCTAAAAAAACTCTAAAAAGAAAGAGATCTATTAAATTATAAAAAAATCTTCTAAAAGAATTTTGTTTTTGAAAATCAAATAAATTTTCTTTTATAAATAAACATCATTTCGTCTTTTATAGGTAGAAAAATATTTTCTTGAAAGAAAATAGATATTTTATACAGAAAACTTTGGGATTTATAATTAAAAGATAAAATATGAACGAATTCTTACAGTTTGTTTCATTATTGGGAAAATTTTAAATGAGAAAATTTAATTTTTGTTTTGTTCTTATTTTAAATTATTTCAAGAACTTAAATAGTAGTTCTGATAGTTTAAATAATTTTTATTTATTTATTTTTCTATACTTGTCGAATAAAATTATTGTATTTTATTTTTATTAAGATTCTTATCAATCAAATCGTTCTACAATTAGTACAGCTACTATATTAAAGAATCCAATAGTAACAAATCAAACCTTGAGGATATGAGTGTGGAGTGAGGATGATAGAGAAGAAGACATACCCATACCAATATCCACACCCACATCCACTTTCACACCCACCCTCACACTCATATACCTTCAGTAAGAGTAATGACGATTGTACAGTACAAATAGTCAGTATTTAAATCGAACTAAAAGATGTAAGACTGTGTTGGTTTCTGTTCAAATATTATACAACATATATTATTCACGAAAGCGAAATTTAATTATTTTTTATTTATATTTAAAATAAACGAAAATATTTAACAATCAATAATTTTGTGTCTATTTTTCTCGACATCGAGATAAATGATGATCTATTATCTGATTTTTACATTGCTCAATCGGTTATAATTATTGATTAATGATTTGATGTTTGTTCATAAAGGCACTTGTAAAGAGTTCAACATTATATTCCATTTAAAGAAATGTACTTGATATCTATCTTGAAGATAAAACTACCACTTACTAATTAATTTTTTTCTTTATCTCTCATCTATTTAAAGCTAGTGTTATTTCTCAGTAAAATCTAATTATTGTACTTGAAACATGACAAAAACTTAGATTTCTTTTTTTATTTTTTTTTATTTAATCAACGAGACAATTGATAGTTTCATAATGAATAAATTCGTTAAATCTTTCGTAAAAAAGAATATATTTTTTTTTATAGGTACATAGAAAATAATGTCTCGTATGATCATTTACAATAAATTGGCATATTTTTCTTGTTTATCATCGAAAGATTCTAAAGAACGTTTCACTACATAAGATTTCACATTTTCATATTTTGGTCGTAATTTTTTTGGACAATTAAAATAAGCATAAACAATTTTATTAATATCATTTGATATAAAATCTAATAAATGGACACAGGAATAAAATAAAATAATCAAAAAGAAATAATACTAACATGCTTTACATTCATCTTCTGTCAACGTTCTTAAATATGGAAAACCATCAATCATTACTGTAGATACAACTATCATAATAACTAACCAAAAGCGGATCGACATCGTAATATTTTTTGATATTCTAACAAAAAAGAAATGATATTAGTTGTTCTCATCTAAACAATTTTTATTCAATAATTGACATTCAACAGATAAAAGGCATTTTTAGACAATACATGACATTACATTACTTGAATTAAAAAGTTTCGTGCGCTTGTCGTGAATCTGTTTACTACAGTAACTGACGATAGAATTAATTATGAATGAATAGTTTACACGTCATTATTCACACTGAAAGATGAAAAGAGTACGTAGGAAGAAGAGATAAATAAAACATGATGATATCTGATCCCACAATTAGTACAAAATGTGTTGCCTTATATAAAAGTTATTTTTATACTTGACTATCGAGCAAATATTATATAATACTTTTTTTTTATCAATAATATAGAACTAACAATCTATCAATATGATTAAAAAATATAATTTCATTTTCATCAACGATTTTCTACTGTTTTTTTATTTAAAGAATAATGAATTGTTTAAACATAAATAAAATCATATAATATGAATACCTATAATTCTATATACATTAAGGTATTATTTTGTTGATTTAAAATGATTTTTATTTTTGTTCATCATCATCAACACCACCATTAGCAAATAAAATATGTCTGTTGAAACGAGATGCTCGCGTTGGTGGTCGCCATTTTT